CACCACGGTCCCGATACCCACTGAGCTCTCACAGGAGCAAGGCCACAGGTCAAAGGGAAGACCGTTCCTGGTGACTGGGTGGAGTCACACGGGAAGGGAAGGTTGAGGGACAGCTGGAGTTTCCCTCCGGGCTGACCATGCATGTTGCTCCCAGGATCTCCCAGGAGCACAGACTTGGTTTCGGGGAGTGGGGGAAGTCCCACTTTCCTGGCTTTCTGGAGGAGATGTAGAGCCAAAGGTACGGCCATACCAGGTGCTGAAGTCCCCGAAGGCCAGTCTGTGTGGGTCCCGTGTGGCCCCCAGACTCGGTCTACTCAGAGGTCCTTGCTGGCCCTACCCACGGCAGCAGCTGCCGGGTATCCAGCTTCTGCGGCTCCTGGCTCGGCAGCTTCTGCTGGACGTGATGTCATGCTCACAGCTCGGCAGCCGGCCATCTGTATGGTTGGTGGGTGTCCAGGAGAATACACTCTCAGGCTCAGCCACAGCTGACACAGAGAATAAAACGAGAAGAGACCCGCCCGTTGGCCAACCCCAGTCCCAGGGCCTGAGAACGCCGGCCCCTAAACACCACTGGCCCAGGCAGCCTCCAGTTAGACCCTCAGCTCGGATTACTCCCGGGGGTGAAGGACCACTCCTCAGAGCAGCAGCTGCCTCGCACCCAATTTCCCTGCAAAAACATCAGCCCATTATTACGCCAACCTAAGGGGACTGCAGCTCTCAGCCTTTAATGATTAAACAGTGCTTCTCGGCCAACTTGGCTTCCAGCCCTGACTCCAACGCTGCCCCCCACCATCCTCGTGGGAGGGCTTCAGTTTAACATCTCTGAGGACCCAGAGGACAGACAGGCACCAATCAGTTCTGTCCAGCAGCTCCACTGAAGCAGGTGAGAGGAACCATGATTGCTCAGGTAGCTCAAGAGGTGTCGACACAAAGTGGAGAAAGACAAGGTGGCACAGGTGACAGCAGCTGAAGGAGTCTTTTTTTCCAGGTCGCCAGCCCCACCTCCGGGACCCGCATTCAGAAACACCCGCTTGCGGTCAGGACTACCCCTTTCGATGTGCTTGGTTAAAAAAGAACATCTTTAAAGTTTTTTATTGCACTACAATCCACATAAAATTTACCATCTTAACCATTTTTAAGTATGACGTTCAGTAGTGTCGAGTACAGTCACACTGTCATGCAACCAACCTCCAGAACTCTTCTCATCTTGCAAAACTGAAACTCTAGATCCATCAGATAACTCTCTCCTCCTTCCTCCCTGCAGCTCCTGGCCACCATTCCTTTTTTTTTAATTGAAGCACAGTCAGTCACAATGTGTCAATTTCTGGTGTGCAGCATAATGTCCCTACATGCATATACATACATATATTCATTTTCATATTCTTTTTCACTAAAGGTTATTACAAGATTTTGAACATAGTTCCCTGTGCTATACGGAAGAAATTAGTTTATCTACTTTTATATAAAGTGGTTAACACCTGAAAATCTCAAACTCCCAAATTTATCCCTTTCTACCCTCTTGCCACCATTTCTGTCACAACGAACTTAACTATTCCAGATAAGTCATACAAGTGGAAATCACACAGGGTTTGTCCTTTTGTGACTGGCTTATTTCACTCAGCATAATGTCCTCCAGGTTCATTCATGTTGTAAGTAGTATTAGAATTTCCTTCCTTCTTAAGGCTGAATAATATTCCATTTGTATGGAAACACCACATTTTGTTTATCCATTTATCCACTGATGGACACTAGGGTTGCTTCCACATTTTAACTGTTAAAAGTAATTCTGCTATGAATATAGGTATATGAATATCTCTTTAAAATCCTGCTTTCAATGCTTTTGGGTATATACCCAGATGTGTAACTGCTGGGTCACATGGTAATTCTATTTTTAATTTTTTAAGGAATTGCCAACCTGTTTTCCACAGGGGCTGCACCATTTTACATTCCTACCAACAGTGCACAAGGGTTCCAATCTCTCTACATCCTCGCCAACACTTTTTTTTTTCCAATAGTAGCCATCCTGACAGGTGTGAGGTGTAAAAAAGAATATTTTTATGCAAAATATTCCAATATGGTAAATAAGCTGTTAGGAGACAGGAAAAAGAAAAAGAAAAAAAGCCCAACCGGCAGCACCCTCAGACCGAGGGTGCATTCATGTCTCTCTGATGGCATTTTGTAAAAGGGCTGATCCAGAAGCTTTGTCAACACCAATTTCAGTAACACCTATCGCCTCTAGGAAAAAGGGCTATTTGTTCCCAAACCAAGGCTACCTGTAAGCATTTTCTCTCTCTATGCAGGCAGGAAAGGAAACAGCAGGAAGGCCAATAAACAGTATAGGGAACATTCCGTTTTGTTTTTTGTTTTTTTTTTTAACAAAACATCAGAATTTATACAGGATTTATGCAAACCGCTTTCAAAGAAGTGACCCTGGAAGTTTAGCTGCATTTTCCGAAGGTGATGTTATCTAGAGCTCCTAGAGGAAAGGTCTCCAGACCTCCATGTAACTGTCATTCGGAAAATCAGTCACATTAATTCACAGTCACATGTAGACGTGGTTCCCAAGGACTCCTTCCTACCTGTTGCCTAAACCAAATCCACTCTCAAAGGGTGGTACCCATAATCCCAACACCACGATCTCAGGGTGCTTTACAGAAAGACCCACAGGCTCTAAAAGCCATCTCAAAGTGCTTGAACCCCGGCAGCCTCCGGCCAGTGAGTGTGGGGACCAGAGCTGCCGGCAGAGGTGGCACCTAGAGGTTCCCAGCACTCACTGCGGTGGGCAAACCGAGGTCTAAAGCAAGTGCAAGGTCATGTTCATCCCTGTCCTTGGTGCCTGGTAGCGCACCTCATTGCTGGCAATACGAATTACTGAACAGACTTCTCAAATGTCCCATTATACATTTAATCGCATCCTGAAGGAGCAGCGAGTGTTCGCATAAGGGATCAGTGTGCTTCAGGTCACATTTAACCCTTTAGGACTGGCAACTGATGAACCATCTACAAGAGTGGTGAGGCATCTCTTTGGTGTCAGGTGATAGCAACACGTATGTCCTGGGTTTTTAAAGAGAAGGTTAAGGAGCTGCATTGTCTGGTGCCTGCTGCCCGAGGCTGAGGTCACAGAACTTCCCCAGCTACCACTGGGATGTCATCAGACCAAGGGCTTTTCATACGTGGCCCAAGACATACAACCAAAGAGCCTTTCTAGACTCAAGACCAAAGTCTTAAACCAGATTTAACTCTTCTTAGAGGGGCAGGCTGTCTTCAAGCTAAAGATATGGTAAGGTATTCCCTTTCACAACTTTACCTCTGAACTCAGAGAAAAAGAAAACATGTCATTTTGGAAGTAATTTCCTCAAATTGAAAAAAAATTTTTTAATTCAAAATTGATACATTCATAGCAGCTCTAATAAAATTTTTGTATTTTAATCTAACAGATTAAATTATCAAGAAACATTTCCTCATATTTTCTAAGGGGGAATTCTGGTGTCAACACGTAACACATTTTATTTATGTTACTTAAGTAAAACAACCGAGGAAGCTTTTCTCAGAGAGGTTGGAGACATGGGGGAAAAATGAAATAGCCACGTCTGTACCTACTGTGGGTTGAACTGTGTGTCCCCCAAAAGATATGCTCAAATCCTACCCCCCCGGACTGGTGAGTGTGATCTTATTTGGAAAGAGGGTCACTGCAGATGTCAGCAAGTTAAGATAAGGTCACCCTGGATTAAGCCGGGCTCCAATCCAATGACTGGTGTCCTTACGCGAAGAGGGAAATTTGCACACAGAGAGAACTCTATGTGACAATGGAGGAGACTGAAGTCACACATCTACAAGGCAAGGGGTGCCAAGGATTGCAGCAACCACCCGAAGTGAGGAAGGATGCAGGGACCCTCCTCTTCGGAGCCTTCAGAGAGAGCACAGCCCCACCCACACCTTTATTTCAGACTTCTGGCCTCCCACACTGTGAGAAAATCATTTTCTGTTGTTTTAAGCCACCCAGTTTGTGGTAGTCCCTAGGAAATGGAAGTAACACCGCTGCTGTCTGCAAGGAAAGCTGCCTTTGGTTACTACCGCCCACTGCCGGGCCTCTGGTCTCCCTCTCAGTCAGAAACTCCAGCTCTGCGGCGTAGGAAGAAACTTAGCTCCTTACTTCAGAGTCTCCGCATGGATTCCACGGGCATCTCCGTCCACCACTGCTGTCCCTAGAGTGCACGTGGGTGGGGCTGTGCACAGCACACACAGTCCTGCGTGGACAGGACACTCGGGGTACTGGCTCCCTGCCCGGTAGTGCGCTTAAGCTGGTTTGGAAGCAGCCTGCAACACAGGTGAGCTCTTTCCAGACAGCATTCTGTTTGGTGTTAGGGAGAGGAAGCAGATGAATTCTCTTGGAAATTTTAACACTCTTGGGTAACTAGAATTTGAGTACTTTTTTATTTGTAACAAGAGCAACAATAGTGGCCAACACTCATGTCCTTACTCTGGGTCAGGCACTGAGAAGTGCTTCCTGTGGTCATTTAATCCTGTCGCCTTGGAGGGACGACTATCATTTATCCCTATCTTACTGATGAAGAAAACCAAGGTTCAGACAGGTGGCCCCAGGTCTGATTTCCAAGCCTGAATTGCTAGCAAATTACCCTCTGGCCTCTCCAGGAAATGTCTTCCCTCACGTGTCTGCAGCTCCAGGCTGAAGCCAGCTTTACCTGGTCACGAACACGGCGGCATCCACGGGGGGCGTGTCGTCCTTGGCTCCTGGAACCTGATTGTTGCCGAGGTACCGTGCGCCTCCGTATTCCTCATTCTGCCAGTGACAGAAGCTCTCCAGGGACCGCTCACCATGGTGCCCAATGGACAACTTGGCCTAAAAGAAATCAGTGGGCCAGTTACAGAAGCAAACGCCCAGGGAAGCCCGAGTTTATGCTCAGACCACAGCGTGGACATTATGCAGAGATAGTCGCTGGGGTAGGGGGGACATCACTCAATGTTGTGCTGCCCTCGCGCTGGTAGGCAGATGCAGAGACACAGAGAGAGGCCATCAGGGGCCTTATTTAAAAGTTCAAATGGAGACTACGTTATTAAAGAAAAGTTTTCTCCTTTTCAGCAAACTGAACAATGTACCCTACAGGGCATGGGACCCTCGGTCTCACGTTCACTGCTTGACTCTGCAGGTAACACTGTTGGGAGGAAACGCACTCAATCGAAAGACCAGAAAACAATGCTATGGTGAATCCAAATTTGGCCTGGAGCTGGGGTATAGCTCCAGAAGGGTAGCCACGATCCTCAAGACCTCGCCATCCACTTTGTCCATCCATGTGAGACATGCGGGAGTGAAGGAGGGAGGCATGCAAGCCTGCTGCTCAGGGTTCCCCAGAGGTTCTAAGATTACATGCACAGCAAGCTCCAGGGACGGTGCCTGTCCTCCTCTCACCAGGTTCCTGGCCCAGGGCACACTGTTGCCATGTGCCGACCCAGGGAGGCCGGCTAAGACAGACAACACTTGGACTCCTCCTCCACGCTCAACAGTAACTAGGAAGCCTGGGGACCAGTGACGCTTCCCGTAACTATGCCAATGGGGACTTACAGGGCGTTGTCGCAGCAGGACAAGCTTGGTAACTTGAATGTTAACTTTAATTCCAAGGCTCTGGTGCTGAAACATATTGTATACCTGTCAAGAGAGAAGAAAAGAAATGAAGATATAAATACACAAATTTTAAAAACTATGGGCATCCTGGATGGAATCATAGAACAAAAGAAAGATATTAGGTAAGAACTAAGGACACCGCAATAAACTAGCAATTTGAGTTAATAATAATGTAGCAATATTGGTCCATTACTTATAACAAACATACCATACTAAAGTAAGATGTCAGTAACAGATGAAACTGTATGGGAACTCTCCGTCCTACCTATTTAATTTTTCTATAAATCTAAAATATAATTGAATAAAATATAAATGCATTAATTTAGAAATAAAAAAATAAATTCTACTCATTAAAAATTACATTAACTAAAATTCTTTTAAATAATAAACTGTGTTACTCCAGTATTAAAAAGAAATCTAAAGAAAAAGAATTATGTGAAATTCAATTATCGATCTTCATAAAGACTCATTGGAACAAAAAAAATATATATGTGAGATATATAACCCAGATTTTATTTAAAAAGGCCTTGTGAGACTGAAAAGCTCCCATAAATATGAATTCCCCCCAAGGAACCTGCGTGTGATGGGAAAACTCTGGAATCACATACATGTGTGCATACATACATATACATGCCAAGATCAGCTGGAAATCACGTGCTTGGGAAAAACTGTATAGGACCATTGATTTTGAAAAAAAAGAAATGGATGTCAGATGATTCTGGGTTTCCTGCGGGAGGCTTAAGGGGATCCTTATGGAGGGACGTGGGGAGGTCCATGCCTGTGGCCATCTCTAACCCTCATCACAACCCCTCACGGTTGGTATCTCCACCAACCTCGACTCAACGAGATAAAGCCACCCTCCCAGGACCCACGGACAGTCAACCATGACCCCAATCCAAATCCAGGCTTGTCCAGACAAAGAGGCCATATTCCTTTATTCCCTGAAGTCCTATTTCCAGCGAAAGTCTGTCAATGAGATAAAGTTACAGTGACAGAAAAGGGTAGGTTCCTCTCGCTGGTAGAACTTTTTTATAACGATCTCCATATCAGGACACCAGAGACAAGTGTTTCAAGAGGAAGCGAGATAAGAAACCCCAAATGAGGTGGAGGAATGAAAGCTGACACAGACAGGAAAAAAACCCATTGGACTTGAGGACCCCCAGATTATTACGCTCCCCTTGAGATCCTTTTTCTATAGTATGGAGAGCAGGATGCAGGGAATTCCAATGGAGCAGGTGATGAAGGTAGTAGTGTAAGATACAGAAGGAAGAGATGAGAACCTTTCAAATACTCTTTTTCTTAATTGAGGAAATGCTTTTGTTTCATTATGTCCTTTTTCCCCCAAAGTTACTGAGATATTGTTGATATATAATATTGTAATAGGTTCAGGTGTACAACATGCTTATATATATATATATGTATATATATATATACACACACATATATATGCGTATATATATATATACACATACATATATATCTCGTATCTGATATATAATATATACATATCTCAGAATGATTACCACGGTAAGTTTCATTAACATCCACCACCTCACACAGGTACAACTGTTTTCCTCTTAAAAGAATTTTTAAGCACTCTTTTAGCAACTTTCAAATATACCACACAGAACGATTAACTACAGTCACCATGCTGTACATTATATCCCCAGAACTTTCTTATAACTAAAAGTGTGTACCTTTTGATCACTTTCTCCCATGCCCCCCACCCACCGCCTCCAGCAGCCACCAATCTGTTCTCTGTGAATTCAGTTATTTTATTTCATTTTATTTTATTTTATTTTTCTGGTGGGGGGTAGGTAATTAGAGTTATTTATATTTTAATGGAGGTACTGGGGACTGAACCTGGGACCTTGTGCTTGCTAAGCACGTGCTCTACCACTGCGCTCTACCCTCCCCCTCCGAGTTCAGTTTTTTTTTAGATTCCACATATGAGTGAGATCATATATTGTTTGTTTTCCTCTGTCTGACTTTTTTCACTTGGTGTTGGATAAGCTGCTGGTTTTTTTCCTGATAGATAGGCTCTAGAGGGAGACTTTTCCAGCAGGGGCATTAGAAGTTTTTCTTCAGTACATCAGCAGCAACATAAAGCAGTGACCACGGCCGACAGTGTGGCCACAGTTAATTCAGGCCATGTGAAACTGGACAGTGTCTGGCACGCAGGCATCAGAGGCCAGGCACACACAGCGTTTCAGCATCTGTGTGATAAAGGAATTAGCTGTGTCAGTGCTTGGATTTTACTCTTTGAAAACTATTATTAAAGCAAAATAGAATCTTTCTGTAATTTAATATTCTTTCCCACAGGAAAAATACAACACATTCAGTTGTTCTGTTCTCATTCATCCACTCCCCCACCACCAAAAATTTTTCTTTCCTCAAGAACAAAATAGCAGTCTTTTTTTTTTCTTTCTAAATGCTGGACCATCTGTAGGTCAATTCTGAAGTCATGTCTTAATTACCTATCCCCTAAACTGGGTGAAGAAGGGGAAAGCACATAACTTTTTCCTTGTTTTGAGATTTTGAGAACCACCCAATGGCTGTAAATCAAATTTTTCCAGAAATATTCAGCCTTCGGACTGGGCCCAAACTGGAAAACCTCAATTCAAAACATGAAAGCTAGGAAGAATGAGAACTTGAAATCCTGAGGGAGAAAATTCAAGTTGCATGGGGTTTCAAGGTGCAGTCTAAACACTGCCTGGAACGGTGACACCAGCCAAAAACATTTAAGACCACTGACAAGCCCCCTGAAAGCAGCATGAAAAACAGAACCCGCACGGAATGATGCAAGCTTCAGGGAGAACAAAACTGTAGGAACAAACTCTGCCCGTTTTCTCCTGGCTGAGCTGAGGGCAGTTCAGGGCATCCGTGAACCAGGACCCCAGAGACCCAGGAGCAGTTTTCTTGGAGCAAATACACAAAAAAGTTGTGAGCTGGAGGGAGAGAAAAGCTCCGTGCTCCAGGGCCGGGGACGGAGGGCGAGAGGGGAGTTGTTTAACGGGTGAAGAGTTTCGGTCTTACAAGATGACAAAGTTCTAAAGATTGGTCATACAACAATGTGAATATACTTAATGATACTGAACACTTAAAGATGACTAAGATGGCCAATTCCGTTATGCGTATTTTACCAGATTAAAATTATTGAATTAATTAAAAATAAAAAGCTTCCTGATCTAAAAACACTGTTCTCTAATAAGCCTGGAGGAAGGCACGCCCCCCTTGACGTGTAATTACGATGCTCATATTCGGGGGATTGGGGATGGGAGACTGACCATGGTTAAAGTGTCTTGTTACCTGAGCATCCCACAGTCCCACTAAGCTCAGCAGGGCGTGGGTAGGGGCAGGGGACACACAGCATCTCCCTGGGGGCCCAGCTCCAAGCCAGGTGAGCCAGACAAAAATCCAACAACAGCCACAGAACACAAAGCAGCCGGCCTCAAAGACACGTAACAGAGTCTCCTTGTCTTTCTTTCCCATGGAAATTTACACTCAGGAGGAGTCTTGCAGGTGGCGGCCATAGGATGTTTAGGGAGACACCTGGTTAGGCAGGGAACAGCACAACCAATCGTCTGGAAATTCTGTCTCCAATATCCAGCCCTGGTTGCGTCCTGGCAGTGTTCAGAGCCCTGGCTGCATGTGTCACATTTCCTTGGCAGCCTGGGGGCTGAGCCAGGTGGACCCGCTGCCAGTGGCACACTGCAGGGCTCCCCTGGCTGAGCGACTTGGGGACACAGCCAGAGAAGAGCAGACAGGGACCAGAGAAGAAGTAAGCAATGGGGACTCCAGGGGAGGAGCTGTTTGCAAAGCCAGGCAAGGTTTTCACAAGAGCATAACCTACCTGCGTGACTCAGGGCCGCCCCAAGGACAGATGGAATCCACAGTACAGCAGACACCCTTCCATCTGACCTAGTCAGACCCCCACCCTGGAGGGGACCCTGTTCTCCAGCACAGTCCTTCTGAGTGGGGTCACTGAAGCAGCAGCACCCACATCGCTTGGGCACCTGTTGGAAATGCATTCTGGAGCCCATCCTAGACCCACTAAATCACACACCCTCGGGGTGGGCCTGGCCATCTGCCTTCAACAAACACCCCGGGGTGGGAGAGCCAGTGAGTGCTATAAACACCCTGCTAGTAAACACCAGAGAGAGGCAGGCTTGTTGTCTGCTTCACATGGTAATTGAGTCAAATTGATGTCATTTTTCCTCCAAAGGAGGAAAAACGTGGAATAGCTCAGGTTTTCATTCCACCGTAGTTGTTAGGGAAGCTGAAAACAACCAAAGTTCTGTCAAGGGGCCCCATTTTCCAATTTGGCTGCCCAAGTCCAGGGTTTCTAGTCTCAGCACCACCTGTTTCCATCTGCAATTTGTTCTTTAAAATATTCCTGCTCCTGTGTCACCATGTGCCCTCCCAACCAAAGGAAAATCAAGTTATGTACATGAAAAGCACGATAGCATACTTGGGAAACCAAGCAGAGCCAAGTCAGGGCACCCACCGGGGAATGCTGCCCACCAGGAGCCCCAGGCCAGGCGGAAGCTCCTCCTTCCACAGTGTACCTGCACAGGTGAGCGGTCTGCTGGGGACACAGAGCCCAGCAGGACTCTAGTTTCTGCAGCAAGAGCCAGGGGGAGGGATCTTTGAAAACACAAATCAGTGTATGCCACTTTTCTGCAGCAGTTTCCCGTTTCACATGCCTTGAAATCCGCTCTCCATGCCCTGGCCCCTGTGCCCCATCCTCCTCATCACACACCAGGAACCACCTTTCTGTGCCTCCCAAATGGCAGACTGACCCCCACTGGCTGGCTCCTTAGGTCAGCTTAACGCCTTCCCATCTAAGTGGAGAGTCACTCATCATAGGCTTCCCTGACCACCCCAGTCACCTGCTATCACCTGGATCTTTGCATAGCACTTAATAACATTCGCACACAAATTTCACTGATTTGTGTGCTGAGGACTGTCTGTCACTCTCATCCGATGAACTCCAAGAGGATGGGGCCCGTCATGGTCCCTAC